AGAGAGAGAGAGAGAGAGAGAGAGAGAGAGAGACAAGATCTCCTTTCCTCTTAATTGAAGTCATTTTCTTCTTATTCCCTGAAAAACTATTAAAATACATTTTATTTTTTAAATAAGGAAGAAGATCCCTGACTTTCTCTCACCAGGCAACTATCACCACACAGAACATGTTGAGGAAGTGGGTGTTCCTTGCTTTCTATTGTTAGTTTGATGAGAATGAGGGTGGAGAGCACTTTGGAAAAATATTTGTGTAAGGAGGAGAGACAGAAGTGAGCTGAAGGAGAAAGTCTTTCGTGTGTCCCAAACTGGGGGTCCCTCGAAGAAATTTCCTTAAGGTATTTAGACATTATTTCCTCAAGGTAACCAGTGTGTTACCTCAGGTTCAAATGCTTTTAACAGGTCATTATTTTCTATTTTTTTCACTTTTTAATTTAGGAACTCGGTGTACTTTCTTATGGTTCTAGGAAAGGAAGGAATATTGCCTGCATGTTGACCCATGGAAGCTAGAGTGCTAGATGCTGCTGTTGATAGAGCTAATATTTACACAGACTCACTGTGTGCCAGGCACTGTTCTAAACCTTAATACTAGCCCAATCCTTACAACAGTTTTCTGAGATAGCTTAACTATTGTGCTTCATCAAAATGTGTTGGTGGAACTTTCTTGATCTTGCTAGAAGATGCTAATGGAAGGTTTTCCATGTAACTGTATTTCCAGGGACACCTGATTTAAAAGAGCAGTTGCAAACTGTCTTGCATTGTAAGACTGTGAAGTATAAAATGCACTCCAGTTTTAAAGAAGTTAAAATAAGAATCCATATGTATGTTTGAATTAAGAGAATAAAGAAAATGTGGCATGCACATACAATGGATTACTATTCAGCCATAAAAAAGAGTGAAACCCTGTCATTTGCAACAACATGGATGGAACTAGAGGAGTTATGTTAAGCCAGGCACCTGATGACAAGTACCAATGATCTTACTCCTGTGGAATGTAAGGTGGTCGGTCTCCTACAAGCTGGGAGCAGAATGGCAGTTACCAAAGGCTGGGGAGAGGTTGATCAATGAGTATCAAGTTGCAGTTGGATAGGAATAGGAAGTTCTGGTGAGCTATTGCATAGTAGGAGTGAACATAGATACAACAATGTGCCATATATTTCAAAAAGCCAGATGAGAGAATTTTTAAAAATGTTTTCACTAGAAAGAAATGATAAATATTTGAGGAGATAGATATATTTACCTTGGTTTCAACATTATGCAGTGTATATACATGTATCAAAACAACACAGGTTACCCCCCAAATTTGTGTACTTTATGTAAAAAATGAATTTAATAAAGACTAATTAGTAAATAGGATATCACTCCCATTTTACAGATGAGAAATCCAAGGCAAAAGAGGTTAAATAAGTTTTCCAAAGTTTTCCAATGGCATTTGAATCTAGGGAGTTTGGTCCTAGAGTCTTTGCTTTTAACTTTCATTATTTCCCCTCTCTGCTGTGCATTGGCTTTGAGCCCATGCCAAGACGTGGACAGGCAAACCAAGAATTGTGCCAAATTGCAAGGCACAGTGGCCCATGCCTGTAATTTCAGTGACCTTGGAAGCTGAAGCAGGAGGTTCTAAGTTCAGACCCAGCCTCAGCAACTTGGCAAGACACTAAGCAACTTAGTGAAACCCTGTCTCAAAATAAAAAGGGTATGGATGTAGTTTAGTGGTTAAGTACACCTGGGCTCAATCCCTGGTACCTCCTGCTCCCCGCCCCCCCCACAAAGTTTTTAGAACCACTTTAATTTGGCCCTTTAAATTAATCTAAATTAATATAAACCTATCAAATTCTTTTGAACAAATATAAGCTTACTAAAAATGGATGAGAGTGTTTTATATGAATTTGAATTTGTTTTTAAGTTGATCAAACTCTTCTGAAATAGAGGTATCTATTTAAAATAGATCGTAAATGGTTAGAAGCAGCCACGAAAAGATCAGAATTCATTTGAAAATGATCCTTGTTGGCTCAGCAAATTACCCTGAACAAGTAAACTCATCTTTTGTGCTAGAAAAGTATGTTTTGAGGTGACCAGAGCCAGTTTTAGAAATTCTTCTGGGTCTTCAGAGCCAGTCTGATGTCCAGAATAGGAAGGGAGTGAGCCAACACTTACTGAGAACTAGTGTATACTAAGTGTTGTTCTGAGCATACCACAAACAGTGTCTCCGTCAGCCTTCAGGTAGTCAGTGTTAGCTTCCTTTTTTGTAGAATGGAAACCTAGATATCTACGGCTCAGAGACATCCAAGTAGTTGGTAGATGGAAGGTTTGGGATTCAGAATCAGTTTTGCTTGATTCCATGTGTTTCTTACTTATAAGATATCATACCACTGCCCACTTTTAAGCCCAGTATGCCTTAAGAAGAAAAAGAGCAACCGGCATGAAGCTTTGGGTAGGATAGACATTGCACTGTCAATCAGGAGAGCAAAGTTCTAGGCTGTGCACATCAGTCATCCTATCTGGGTTCTTTATTATCTTTAGAGAACCAAACTCAGATCACATTATTTTGGTTTTCTTTTTCCTGCATTCTTCCATGGCCCTGGTCTTTACATAGTCATCAAACACCTATTTTCTTTCTTTAGGATTAGAAAGCCAAACTCAGAGAGTCAAAGGTCTGAGTATTTATTTTCAAATTGAAAAAAACAGGCATTTGCAGTCTGAAAAGTGCAAACTATGATTAATGTTGATGGTATCTAAATCTTCGATTTGTGGAACTTTGTTAGTTTTTCCTGAATGATGCCTTGGTTAGTATTTTATCATGAGTAGAAAACAAGACTCAGAGATCATTAGCAGACTTACCCATATGATTTTTCACCTATGGAAACTAAGCACATTTAATTATTGGTAGAGCAGAAATAGTATCATCCGTCTTTGAATTCCACTCAAATGGGTTTAGAAAGTTCTAGAATATTGATTCTATTGGTAGCAACCTTTTCTCCTGTCTTAATTGATATAAAAACATAGAAATGACCATTTTTTCCAAATTAAAAGAGGAAATAAGGTAGCCACAGTGTGTCTTCTTTTACATTCTTATTGTAAGATTGGAGCTGCTTTCTGCTTCAATTTGAGGGGAACTCCAACTTTGCCCCTGTTCTCAACTGCCTAAGTGTTATCTGGACCTGCTTTTAATTCTTAGGTCTTATTTATGAATAACTTGGAACTAAGTGAGGTGCTATGATAGGCCTTGTTGAGATGTTTATACTCAAGTAGTCATCTTTTAGAGAGGACTTCTGTTGCATGTCATTAATACTGGTCACCCACACCTGCATACAGAAGCTATTAACATGGGAAGCTCTCCTTGGTAAAGTGCCACCCTGTATAGTGTGCAAACAGTACTATGAATGTTTGTAGAGGCTCTGCCCTTATCCACTGGTCAGTCATGTCTAAGATGTGAGGTCCCAGATCTGCACTAAGGCTCTCTGAGGAAGTACCTTGCAGTGAATCTTAGGTATCAACATTAGGATTTTTGAGCATAAGGTAAGTTATTAAGTTGAGGATGGGTTGGGGGAGGCAATCTTGAAAATCAGAAAATGTCCTTGCCTGAGATTTTACTAATATTATATATCTATAGAAACAAACCTCTAGAAAGCATTGAGTATTAGAGCAAAGTTTCAGAATATGGGCCTTTGTGGAAAGGACAATGGGAGAAAAATCAGCAGCATCTAATAGAGGGTATCTGGCATGTGTGTGGATGGGTAAATATGTGCATTTAAATGGGCAGGTACAGTTGTCAGTGGTAATGGGATAGCTGGTTATTTTTATGATTTTTCAGAAGAGTTTATTGGCATTAGAAATACAGGGATAAAAATAAATAGACCTTTCCCAGGGAAACACTTCATATCTAGTTGGACTAATATTTTGGATTGACATCTATTTAGAAGATAAAAAACAAATAATGCAAAACGATGATGGTAAAGGACCCAAAATAACCATGGTTAGGTATTGCTGGTGCAAACAAAATTTTCTTCTTTAAGTTGAACTTTTATTTTAGTCAGTATTGAGAAACTGAATTTTCAGCAGTTTTTGTTAGACTATCAGGTGTAGGTGTAGGTAAATAAGCCCTTAGCTACAGACCTGTGGTATCTGAGTACTAATAGCCACAATATGAAACTCAGTAAGCAGTAATTTTCCAAGAATTCTGATTTAGTAAATAGTATATGTTAATAAGGCATAAAGGATCCACAAGTCAAATTTTACTTATGAATTAGCAATGTCTTTGAAGGAACTTTAATAACATGTAAAAATGAATAGGATAAATGAAATTGCTTAGTTGTCAAAATAAAAAGAAAAGCTAGTGATCTAGCACTAGAAAACTGAAAAAGAGGGAGAATTGAAACCACTTGCACTCTAAGTATTTCTATGATACCTTAAAACATTGTCCTTCCTCCTTTCTCTTATCAGTTTTTATTATATTTTCTTATTACTGATTATCATTCTCATTGGTAGTATAATATGTATGTTAAATGAAAACTAAACTGTTATTTACTATTTCAGCAGCGTCTCATTTAGTGAACTATTAGGTCCTCAGGGAAAGTGAACACTATGTAACCCTCTCTTCACTGAATGCCTAGATACATAGGTTTTATATAGAAGACTTGTTGAACTGAATATTTTTTAAAAAATATTTTTTAGTTGCTAATGGAGTTTTTGCTTTATTTTTTTATTTATATGTGGTGCTGAGGATTGAACCCAGGGCCTCACACATGCCAGGCAAGTGCTCTACCACTGAGCCACAACCCCAGTCCCTGTTGAACTGAATATTAAGTAGCCACTTTGTTAATGGATAACTTAATGTTTTCTAATAGACTTTAATAAATATTCATTTGGGCTGGGGATGTGGCTCAAGTGGTAGTGCGCTCGCCTGGCATGCGTGCGGCCCGGGTTCAATCCTCAGCACCATATACAAACAAAGATGTTGTGTCTGCCAAAAACTGAAAAATAAATATTAAAAAATTCCCTCTCTTAAAAAAAATAAATAAATATTCATTTGTTTATATTTTTCAGGTGAATCACTGAGTGCTTCATTATGTCTGATGGAGATTATGATTACCTCATCAAGTTTTTAGCTTTGGGAGACTCTGGAGTAGGGAAGACCAGTGTACTTTACCAGTACACAGATGGTAAATTTAATTCCAAATTTATCACGACAGTGGGCATCGATTTTAGGGAAAAGAGAGTGGTAAGTCCTATATTCTTCTGTATAAAAATATAATCTCTGAGTAAAAATTTGCCTGTTCAGTTTCCTTCATAAGAATTAGGAGGACAAAGGTCAGGATCTAAAATTAAAGGGTGCCTATGAAAGTGTGTTACACTTAATCCAGGCAACAGGATTGAAAAGGCTCTGCTGAAGGATACATAGAAAACAAGCAGACAAAGTAAAAATGAGCAGTTTTTTTCTTTTTTCTTTTTTTCAAATTCTCCCTTGGTTCTCTTTTGGCCTGTATCTTCCCTGGAAAACTCCACAAAGTTTTTTGTCTACCTTTGGAAACCCTGCCAACCGCTCTGCCCGCTTACCCCTGTTTTGCAGGTGTATCTTACACCTTTGGTAACTTATCATTTTAAATGGCATTTATCTTAATTAAAGCCTCAGCAATTCCATGTGGCACATTTAAGGGATGGAACATATCTCTATGACCAGGAGGGTGAGATTAGAGTAGAAGTGGGAAAGGCTAGTGGTGAACAGGATGTTCTGCCCAATGATGAGGGGAGAGGTTTAATATATATATATATATATATATATATATATATATATATATACACATTTGTGTATACATATGCACATATACATATATGTATATAATAAGCAAAATTCATATATATGTGTGTATGTATGTATGTGTATATATATATATATATATATATTTTGTTAGAATACCGGGTGTAGGTGTAGGTAAATGAGCCCTTAGCTACAGACTTGTGGTATCTATACCTGGCATTCTAACAAAATAAATAAATAAATAATAAATATGTGTATATATATATATATATATATATGTGTGTGTGTGTGTGTGTGTGTGTGTGTGTGTGTGTGTGAAAATATATATATATATTTAGAGGATCATAGGACTAAAAGTTATTTTAGGGGTGGAAGGGCAGGTAGGAGGTCACTGTGTCATAGTTCCAGAGTAGGGAAGATGGCCATGGACTACATTTCTTGCTGAAAAAAATCCAGTTACCATGAATAAGATCAAGTTATCAGGAAGTTAATGACAAGAGCCCTTCCATGGAACATGTTCTGTACAAGGAGCTACATGGTCCCTGACCTCCAGGACAGAGCATTCATTTCCTTTTACCCACTGTAACTCTTTTTCTTTGTAACTAGAAAGACTTAAAGACCCACTGGTTAAGAATAGGATCCTAATTTGATTTTTAGTGTTGATATATAATTAATTTCACATTTTACAGGCTCTGCATCTGCAGATTCAGCCAAGCCCAGCTTGGTACTGTGTAGTTCAGCCTGCAGTGATCATGTCTCTGCTACACATGAACAGACTTTTTTCTTGTCATTATTGTCTCAATAATACAGCATAGCAATTGAATTTCATAGCATTAATCTTGTATTGGGTATTATAAATAATCTAGAGATGATTTATGTATTTGGGACAATATGTGTGGGTTCTGTGTAGATACTACACCATTTTATATGATAGACTGAGCATTTGTGGCTTTTGGTATTTTTGAGGGTCCTGGAAACCAATGCCTGCAGATATCAAGGCACGACTGTATATGTATGTGAAAAGTTTTGATAATTAAACTTTTTAATTAAATTTTTTAAACTTTGTTTAAAAAACAGATTTGTTGATATGTAAAGCATAGTGAGCAAAATTCATGTATTTGAAGTGTAGATTTCAATATTTTTAAGCATATTCAGAGCTATATACCATCATAACTATTTAAATTTAGAAATCCCATACCTGTGAGTACTCTTTCCCCATTCCTTCTGCCCACTGGCCACTATGTATCTCTTTGGATTTGCATATTCTGGATGTATTAAATAACAGAGTCATGTAATATGTGGGCCTTTATATCTGGAGTTCTACACTTAGCACATAATATTTTCAAGGTTTGTTCTTGTGTGTGTCAGGACCTCATTCCATTTTATGTCTGCATAGTATTCCATTGACCTATTGATGGACATTTTAGTTGTATCTCTTTAGCTGTTATGTATAATGCTTCTATTAACATTAATATTCAATGTTTTTCAGGTGGGTATATGTTTTAAATTCTCTTGGAAATATGCCTACAGGTAGAGTTTTTGGCTATATGATAACTCTATGTTTAATCTTAGGGATGTCTATATTCTTTCAAAGGTTCTACACCATTTTGTATTCTTTTTTTTTTTTTTTTAAAGAGAGTGAGAGAGGGGAGAGGGAGGGAGGGAGAGAGAGAGAGAGAGAGAGAGAGAGAGAGAGAGAGAGAGAGAGAGAGAATGAATTTTAATATTTATTTTTTAGTTTTTGGCAGACACAACATCTTTGTTTGTATGTGGTGCTGAGGATCGAACCCGGGCCGCACGCATGCCAGGCGAGCACGCTACTGAGCCACATCCCCAGCCCCCCATTTTGTATTCTTAACAACCAGTATCTGAGGGTTCCAGTTCCACCGCATTCTCACCAACACTGGTTATATTTCTATTTGGTTCTAATCATTCTTATCTCCATTATATGAATACATAACATATATGATTATTTCTATGTTGTGCATTATAAATATGTTTATAAATATCAATTATAAGTAGAAAAAGAATAAAAGCTAAAACATTTCTAAGGAGGAAATTTATAGTTTAAAATACATATATTGATAAAAAATATCTCATCAGTAATTTAACCTTCTACCTTAAGAAACCAGAAACAAAGGAGTAAGCTAAGCCAAAAGCAAGCAGGGTGGAATGAATAATAAAGATTAGCGTGGAGCTGGATGAAGCAATGGAGCAGTCCTATAATCACAGCAACTAGGGAGGCTGGGTCAGGAGGGTCACGAGATCAAAGCTGACCTCAGCAATTTAGTGAGGCCCCAGGTAACTTTGTGAGATCTGTCTCAAAATAAAAAGGGCTGGGGATGTGGCTCTGTGGTTAAGCAGTTAAGCGCCCATGGGTTCAGTCCCTGGTACCGAAAAAGAAACAAAAGAAAAAGATTACAGTGGAAATAAATAAATGATCTTTTTCTTGAAAAGATCAGCTAAATTCCTAAAATAAGAAATGAAAGGACAACTCTACCAATTTTATATAAATAAAAAGTTTGTGAAGAAATATTATAAACAACAGTATGCCAACAAATTAGATAATATAGAAGAAATGGAGAAATTTCTACACACAAATAGCTGAAACCAACTTAAGTATCTTAAGTAGACGTGTAACCAATAATGTGATTGAATTACAGTTTCCCACAAAGAAATTGTCCAGGCTCAAACATGTTCACTGATGAATTTTATCAAATGCTTCAAGAGGAAGCAGTCCTTGCCAAACTCTTCTAAAATATAAAAAAAGGTGGAAACCTTCCCAACTCATTTCATGAGGCCAATATTGCCCTGACTCCAAAATCAAAAAGACATTCTGAGGGTGGGGAAAAAACTACAGAATGAAGTCCCTTCTGAATATACACAGCAAAATACTAGCAAACACAGTCCAGTAACATTTAAAAAGGATTAAATATCATGACTAAGTGGAATTTATCACAAGAATGGTAAGGTTGGTTTGCCACATAAAAATCAATTAATGTAATACACTATATTAAGAGAATAAATAAATAAAACCACATGGTCATTTCAGCAGACATAGGATAAGTATACAATACCATTTCGTGATAAAAGTATGCATCAAATCAGGAATTAAAGGAATGTTTTCAACCTGATAAAGGCCTCCTATGGCTTTTAGTATATACTTGGTGAATATCTGAATGCAAGGATGTCCTCTCTCATCACTTCTATTCACCATTTATTGGAGGTTCTTGCTCAGGAAGTTAGTCAAGAAAAAGAAAACATATCCAATTGGAAAGGAAAAAATAAAATAGCAAATAACACGATCTTGTATATAGAAATCCTGAGGAACAAATGTATACAAACACACACAAAAAGACTATTAGAACTACTAAACAAGTTCTCATGCAGTATTAAAGATTAGTTGACATAAATTATATTTTCTATGTATTTCACATGAACAATTTGAAAATGAAATTTAAAAACCAATTTACAATAGCATCTAAAAATTCAAATATTTAAGAATAAGTTTAAAACAGAAGTGCAAAATGAATACTACGAAAGCTTCAAAATATTGTTGAAAGAAATTTTAAAAGATCAAAATGATGGGAAAAATTCCATGTTCATGGATCAGAAGACTTTATGTTGTGCAGACGGCAATATTCTTCAAATTGATCCATAAATTTAGTTCAATCCCTATCAGAATCCCAGCTGGCTTCTTTATAGAAATTGCAAAGCTAATTCTAAAATTTGAATGGAATTGCCAGATATCCAAAACAATCTTGAAAAAGAATTGAATTGAAGGACTCATACTCCCCAATTTCAAGACTTCCTATAGAGCTACAGTAATTAAAATAGTATGGTATTAGCAGTAGGTTAGAGATATAGATGAATACAGTAGAATTGAGAGTATAGAAATAAACTTTTACATTTACAACCAATTAATTTTTACCTAGGCTATCAAGACCATTCAAGTGGGAAGAGAATAATCTTTTAAACAAATGATGTTGCTATAACTGAGTAGTCACATGCAAAAGAGTGACTGTGAACCCCTGCTTTCACCATATACACAGTTAACTCAGAGTGGATTAGGGACCTAAATGTAAGAGCTAAATCCATTTTACTTATAAATTTGTTATAACACACACAGAGACACACACACACCACACACACACACACAGCTTTAAGCCCCAGTTGACTCCTTCACTGACCTTTAATTTATTTTTTATTCAATAAGTTTTTGATGCTGTGTTTTTATTTTCATTCATCTCAAAGTATTTTATAATATCCCTCATAGTTCTTCTTTGATTACTTGCTTATTTAAGAGAGGGCAGTTTAATTTCTACATAATTGCAAAATTTGCTATATTATTGATATCTAATTCTATTCCATTGTGGTTGGAGAACACACTTTGTATAATTTCAGTCGTTTTGAGTTTATTGAGACTTGTTTTATGGCCTAACATATGGTCCGTCTGTCCTTGAGAATGTTTCATGTGTATCTGAAAAGAAAGTTTATTTTTCTGTTGTTGGGTGGGTCAAATGGTTTATAGCTGTCTGTTATATCTAGTTGACTTACAGTGTTATTCAAGTATTCTATTTCCTCATTGACTTTCCTAATTATTCTAGGATTAAAAATGCAGTATTGAAGTATTTAAGTATTATTGTTCAGTTGCCTGTTTTTCTCATTCCTTTATCTTCTTGATGGGTTGAGCCTTATATCATTATTAAATATCCTTCTTTATCTCTAATAACAATTTTGGTTCTAACATCTCTTCTGTCTGAAATTATTATTGTCACTCCAGCTCTCTTTTGCCTACTGTTTGCTGCCATATTTTTTTTACCCAGCCTTTTACTTATAACCGTGTTGTGTTATGGAATGCAAAGTGTGTTTCTTATAGTAGTATATAACTGGGTAATTGTAAAATCTGTTCTGTCAATCTCTGCCACTTATTTTGAGCTTTTAATCCATTTGCACTGAATGTAATTACTGATAAAGTAGAATTTATGTTTGCCATTTTGCTGCTTGTTTTCTATGTTTTAAGTCTTCTTGTTTTTTTTTTWKWKAGAGAGAGAGAGAGAGAATTTTTTTTCAGTTTTTGGTGGACACAACATCTTTATTTTATTTTTTATGTGGTGCTGAGGATCGAACCCAGCGCCCCACACATGCCAGGCGAGCGGCTTACCACTTGAGCCACATCCCCAGCCCGAGTCTTCTTTTTGCCTCTCTATTTCTCTATGACTCCTTATTTTGTGTTCAGTAGATATTGACTAGTGTACCATTTTAATTTCCTTTTCATATTTTTACTCTATATTGTTATTTTCTCTTTAATTCCTCTGGGTATTACAGTTGTCATCGTAATTTTTAACGATTTCGTTTTTATGACTATTAAGGTATCTTCAATACTATACAGATCTTTGATCTTATTTAGTTTCACTTTCTCTCCTGCTTTTTGCTGTTGTCATGCAAATTACCTTTATACACTGCATGCCCATCAACACAGATTCAGAATTAATGTCAAATACAGTTGTATTTTAATCAGATGGAAGAGTTACAAACAAAAATATATTTGCAGTTTCTGTCATAATTACTTATGTAATTACCTTTACTGGTATTCTTTATTTCTTTTTATGGATTTGAATTACTATCCACTGTCTTCCTAGCTCAGTCTCAAGAACTGTCTTTAGTATTTTTCTTGTAGGGCATTTTCTATTTTGTTTGAAAAGTCTTGATTTCTCCTTTAGTTTTAGAGGATTAGCTGTACAGGATATAGAATTCTTGGTTGGATAGGGTTTTTTTTTGTTTTTTTTTTTGGCACTTTAAAAGCCACAGTTTTCTGAGATGCTTTTTATTTTTCTTCATTCTGTTTTTCTGTTCTTAGACTGGATAATCTTAATCGACCTATATTTAAATTTATTGATTATTGTTTTGTTAGTTCACATCTGCTGTTGAGCCCTTCTCATGAACTTTGCATTTCAGTAATTGTTCCTTCCTTCCTTCCTTCATTCTCCCTCCCTTTCTCTTTCTCCCCATTCATCTTTCCTTCCTCCTTCCTCGTTTTTTTCCTCTTTGTTTCTTTCTCCCCTACCTCTTTTTTCAGTGCTAGGGAACAAACCTAGGGCTTTGTGCATGCTAGGCAGGTGCTCTACCAATGAGCTACATCCCAGCCCCAGTAATTACATTTTCAACTCCAGAATTTCTATTTACTTCTGTTTTTATATCATTCTCTTTATTGCTATTTTCTTAAAAGTCATTGTTCTAATACTCTTTTTTTTTTTCATTCTTTAGGCATGGTTTCCTTTAGTTCTTTGAACTTATTTCAAATGGCTGATTTAAAGTCTTTGTCTTTGACAACTGAGCTTCCTGAGGAACACTTTTGACTGGCTATTTTTCCCCTGTGTATGAGTTATACTTTCCTGTTTCTGTGTTTGTCTTATAATTTTGTCAAAAACTGGACATTTTTTAAAATAGTATGATGTGGCAATTCTAGAAATCAGCCTCCCATTCCCTCTTGGATTTTTTTTTACTGTTCATGTATTCTCTGACTTATGCTTTACTTCCTCCTTGAGAAGAACCTCAAGGTCAGTCAGAGGTAAGAGATTAGGACCTTTTTAGGTCTTTCCTGGGCATCTGTTCAGTCTTGCACACAATTGGCCTTGCAAGTTCCAAGCAATATTTGGGAGATTTAAAAAAAAATCTCCCTGTGAAAATCTCCTTTTCTTTTTTATTTTTTCTTTTTCTTTTTTTTTTTTTTAGTTTTTGGCGGACACAACATCTTTGTTTGTATGTGGTACTGAGGATTGAACCCGGGCYGCATGCATGCCAGGCGAGCGCGCTACCACTTGAGCCACATCCCCAGCCCTCTTTTTTCTTTTTAACATGTTTTTGATTAGACTTTTGTTGCCTCAACTGATAATGCTACCCCTGTGTGTTATAATTACTGCTGATTGTTTTTAAGAACGACTATAGAGATATAGCTCTAATTATTGAGTAATTTTCTGAGTGTGGTCTGATGGAGACAAGACTTAGGGATGGAACTTTTTTGGAAGCTTCCAGAAAATTCTCTGAAGATGGGGCTTGTAGGGAGCTCCAAACCTGTTCTACCTCCCTTATCTATGGGCTCACTGCTGGGCTAAGGGTTTCCACAGCTACTGTAATTGTGCCTTTGTTGGTGTTTTTTTTTTTTTTTTTATTTTTTTTTTTTTTTTTTTTTTTTTTGGCGGACACAACATCTTTGTTTGTATGTGGTGCTGAGGATCGAACCCAGGGCCTCACACGTGCAAGACGAGCACTCTACCACTGAGCCACAACCCCAGCCTGCATTTGTTGGTTTTTAATGCAACTACAGAACTCAGATGAGTGGGATAGGAATAGGGCAAGTTAGAGCTCACTGTTTTTACCCACATTTGGCTATTTTTCATGAATAAATGATTCTCCTAATGTTGCAAGCTATTGTTACTTTCCAGATTTTGTAAAAGTTGATTTTGACAATTTTTGCTACAATTTTTACCACTTTTATGGTGGAGCTTTGTGGAGGTCCTTTCCTTGATGTTCCAAAATGCTTCCTATAAAATTGTTTTAAGAACATTTTTAAAAGATTGGGACAGTGGGGGTCGGGGGGCTGGGGTGGTAGCTCACAGGTAGAAYGCTTGCTTAGCATGTGTGAGGCACTGGGTTCAATTCTCAGTACCCCATATAAATAAATAAAATAAAGGACCATTGACAACTAAAATAAAAAAAAACATGGGACAGACAAAAGCCATAGAAAGGCAATATTTCTTGAAACTAGTGATCTGAAGGAATTTTGGGGAAAGGTAAGTTGATTATTGCTTTATATAAATTTTTATATTATTTGCACATTTTATAACATATACATGTATTTTTTAACCTGGTAATTGGAGCTCTTTCTATTTGTATAATATACTTCTAAAGTTCGTAATGCATATATTTTAGTATAATTTATTGTGTTATCCAAATGCAATTATTTGATATAAAATGCCATCATGGTTATATTCTAGATGGGATTATCTTGAGAAGTTTAGATGCTTTGGGGATTTGTACTGAATAGAAAGGCAAGACAAGAAGAGTTCACTTATCTCAGAAGTTCTTTTGATTTCTCTTTTACTTTGCTGTTTTAGGTGTACAGAGCCAACGGGCCAGATGGAGCCATTGGCAGAGGCCAGAGAATTCACCTGCAGTTATGGGACACAGCTGGGCAGGAGAGGTATGCAGTCTTCAGTTATGTGCTCCTGACTGGAGGAAGGAGACAGCTACACTCTTGACATAGTGACCTGAGCAGGGAAAGCCAGCCAATTAGCTGATTTGCACCTGGATAAGATATGCTACCAAATTAGCTGTAAATTTATTAGTCTGAGATGATAATGGTGGCATTATTTTATGTACAAAGTTCAAAGGAAAAATGAATCCTTTTCAAATTGGACCTTCTTACTTGAGGACTTTTTCTTTCATTATTTTTTTTTTTTTAGACTTGTATACTTTTCTTCATGTACTGTTGCTGTTACTCAACTATAAGAAAGTTACAGAGTTACATGCATTATTACCTAATGGTGGAAATCTAGTGGAAAATCTGGTTGGAATTAATTTGTATGGTCAGAGGTTACTTGACTAAAATAAACCACATGACATCTTGATCTAAGGTTGTTTTAGTTAGGTACAGCCTGTTTTATCTCACAGCCTCCTTGAATGATTTTATTTATTTATTTTTAACATTTTATCATGAAAAACTTCAAGCATGCACAAAAAGTAGAGAGGCTAGTACAGTGAACCCAGGTACCTGTTATTCAGTTTAAGCAGTTATCAAGTTGTGGCCAGTCTTATTTCATGTACGCCCATGAGCACTTCTTACTCCTTCCTCCCACGTTATTTGGAATCAAAGTCGAGATATTGTATTATTTCATTTGCAACTCTTTTGGTATGTATCTCTAAATAATGAATTCTTGTAAGCAATTGGTTAAAAATGTTTGAGAAAAACCTAACATTGCTGATTAGATGATGAATTTATACCAATGTTTCCTTCCCTGGAGCCTGCCTGTCAGTTACAGGCTTGTCGTATATATAATCAAGGTGAGAAGAAACTGTTAGAAGGAGAGAGAATAGATAGTGGGATAAAGTCTTGGAACAAGGCAGAGTACCAAGAAAGAGTAGGGAATATCATTCCCAACTTAAAGCAAAGAAATATTATCAGAGATAAGGGAATTAAAAGATCACGGAACACTTGGTAATGTCAAGTCAAGCTTTCACAGAAGGAAAACTTACCCAGCAAGCATTTTTGCTTTTGGCTTAATTAGCTAGTAATTATACAATAAATTCTTGGCTGAGATTGAGAGATCATGAGCTAGTTCTCCTTAACTCCGTCCAGCAGGCTAGGTTTTCAAATCACATGGACTGCTAACACATGAACTTATATAAGTGGTAAATGCTGGTCCTATGCACTTTTGGAATGGCATCATGAGATTTGTTATTGACGAGCTTTTGTAAAGAGGCTGAGGGCATTGCTAGCAGCTTGTATTTCAGGAATGGAGCTGTGGTTTAGATGACCAGTCTGTTTTTTATGATCCTAGGTTTCGTAGTTTGACAACAGCATTCTTCAGAGATGCTATGGGTTTTCTTCTACTTTTTGATCTGACGAATGAGCAAAGTTTCCTCAATGTCCGAAACTGGATAAGTAAGTTTTATTGTTTCCCTGCCTCTGCTGCCTGCACCTGGGAGTAGAATACCCGCTTATATCTACTTATATTGCAAATTCTTTTGGAGGAGCTTTTAGTGTAAATGCTGTTTAAAAGAACATGGTGTTTAGCTTAGGACCAAAGAAGACTAAAATACTCTGCTTTTACTAATTCTGATTTGTTAGATACTTCTGTGCTCCAGGTACAAAAGAGCATTTTAAATGTTATCACTTAATAAGTCTGTTGCACAGAGGAAATTCTTATCCCCATTTTACAGATGGGGAAGTAGTTAAATCTCTAAGCATCGCTTGTCTCTTGTGTGCTATCAATTCTTGTATTATCCCTGCATGTTAAGGATATATTACATAGATGTAGTTATCTGTTGAAGGCTTAATGGACCCTATCTCTATATCCTTTCTCTTCTTGGAAGCCCCTTCTCTGCTTTTGGGCTTAGAGCTTTTGCTAAGAGAACCTGACATGGAAAGTTCTAGAACTGCATTGGCAAAAGTCATCCCTTCATTTTGGGCCTTTATTTTGGATTTTTAAACAGATTTGAACCTCTGAAATGATTGGTTTATAGTAAAGACAAATCTCACTGTATGACCAAATAACAGCTTTCAAATGTACATTTTCTTTGATCATTTTAATAGAACCCTAGAGAATCTGTTAGAGAAGCCTGTGATGTTACATTCTGAACATCCAAATCTTTAAMACACTTACTTAAAAGTAATACTTAGGGCTGGGGTTATAGCTCAGTGGTAGAGCGCTTGCCTAGCATGTGTGAGGCACTGGGTTCAGTCCTCAGCACCACATAAAAATAAATAAATAAAAGTATTGTGTCCATCTACAACTAAAAAATATTTTTTAAAAAGTACTACTTAAGGGCCGGGGTTGTGGCTCAGTTGTACAACACTTGCCTAGCATGCGTGAGACACTGGGTTTGTTCCCCGGAACCACATAAAAAAAATAAATAAATAAAGGTATTATGTCCATCTACAACTAAAAAATAAAAATTTTTTTTTAAAAAGTACTTCTTAAAAATTACTTTGCTTTCTTGGGTTATGAAAGGACATTGGTTATTTTTTGATAGTAAAAAATCTTATTTTAAAAATTAATCTTTAAGGGCTGGGGATGTGGCTCAAGCGGTAGAGCGCTGGCCTGGCATGTGTGCGGCCCAGGTTCGATCCTCAGCACCACATACAAACAAAGATGTTGTGTCTGCCAAAAACTAACTAACTAAATAAATAAATAATCTTTAACTAAATTTACTTAGCATGCTGTGCCCTTCAGAGCATTTTCACATATTTTGTATCTGATCCTCATCATCACCCAGCAAGGAAATTCTGGTAGGTGTGTCCTTATCCCAGGGTGAGAATTCTGAGTCTGAGACAGTAATATACTTATCCAAGGACAGGGAGCCTTTGAGGCTTTCTGTTAAGTAAGTTGATCACTAAGAATTTAATACTTTATAAATATGGATTTCCCAAATGTTGTTAGGCTTACTGGGCTTCGTTTTGCTAGATGCCTGGTTGACTCGCACACTTTGCTATTTCTCTCGGAGCTGAATGATGATGGCAGTTCCTAATCTCTCAGTCCTTATTTGTTATCCTCTCCTTCACATCATCAGAACAAGTTCTGGAGTTTTCTTTTTTAAAATTTTTTTTAGTTGTTGATAGACCTTTATTTACTTATACGTGGTGCTGAGAACCGAATCCAGTGCCTCACACATGCCAGGCAAGTGCGCTACCGCTGAGCCCCAGCCCCAGCCCTGGGGTTTTCTAAAACGTTTAGTAAGGGCCACTAGAGATTGCTCATAGAATCATAGCATTGAAAGATAATGAACCCACATGTTTTTCACAGGTAGAAACTGAAATTGAGACATTAGACAAATCTTGCCCATCTTTTTAAAAATTATTTATTTATTCTGAATTGTTATATATGACAGCAGAATGCAATTAATTTCATATCACACATATAGAGCACACTTTTTCAAGTCACTGGTTGTTCATAAAGTATTTTCACACCATTTGTGTCTTCATACATGTATTTAGGGTAATGATGTCTAACTCATTCCACTGTCTTTCCTACCCATGTCCTTCTCTTCCTCTCCCTCCCCTTTGTCCTATCTAAAGTTCCTCCATTCCTCCCATGCCCCCCCCCTCACATTGCCATTATGAGTCAGCATCCTCATATCAAAGAAAACATTCCAATTTTGTTTTTTTTGGGATTGGCTTACTTCACTTGGCATTATATTCTCTAACTCCATCCATTTACCTGCAAATGCCATGATTTTATTCTCTTTTAATGCTGACTAATATTCTATTATGTATATATGCCAAAGAAAACTTGCCCATCTTATTAGCTAGTTAGATAAAGAATAGCATTATGCAAAAGTATGAGTATGTGTGTTTGTATTTTGTTTTATTTTCTTTGGAAAGTAAAAAAAAAAAAAAAAATTCTTATTGTCCAGTTAGGTAAACTTAAACATATTAAAGATTTCCTATCTTTTCAATGGGAAGCATTCTCCTGCTTCACTCCCATATAAACAAAAAAGAATAATGTTGCGATGTCAGAGGTGGTAATATGAAATCTTAATTAGAAATGGAAATTTGTTAGTTATATGTTATTTTTCCTCTATTAACATTTTGAATATTAGAGAGATCATCCATTTCTTCTGCTTTAAAAAAAATTTTGGTCAAAATAATAGCTTAAATGTATGTATGCATATAGGTAGGTAGGTAGATAGCTTGTCAGCACAAAGGTAGAGAAGTAGCTATCCTGGGCCCTGGTTGGCCAGGGAGAGAAGTATGGCTCTGTACTCTCCCTTTGCTCCCCCAGAGCTGTCCCAGAGGTCTTTCTTCATCTGGTGAGAATCTCTCCATGCCCTTTTGGCGAGGGAGATGAGTCTAAGGGTGAGCCTGGATCAGTTTAGGAGACTGAACAATGAGCCAAGTCCTACCCAGATTGAAATCTGAATGGAATCAGGTAGTGTACTCACTCCCTGCTTTCCTGGAGTTCAGAGGTGTGAGCAGCATGACCAGATTTGTTCCTTACCCAGGGCCAGCTACTTTTGTAATGAGACTTTAAAAGAGCCTAAATTTCTGTAGCCTCCCACATAATGCTATAAGAGCCCCACAACATATATTTTTCATATTTTGCCCTCTTTTTTTATTTTGATTATCCCCTCTGACTGGAAAGCCTTCTCTACAACCACACCATTTAAAAAACCAATTAGAGTTATGCCTGTTCTTTAATATCTGGCAAAAATTAGCCTCTGCGAAATTCTCTGTGATCAATTTTATCAGAATCAATTTTACCCTTCCTCTTAATCCTTGTTCAAATCTTCACTGTTTGTAGGGTCCTTATCACATACCATCGCAGGTTGTAGCTATTTAGGTATATGCCTTTGTCTTTAGTGAGATTTTCTAAATAAGTTATTAATTTACTTTTTATTTAAGTGATTCACATGGTAGAAAAATAGTTAAAAAGAAAACATTACRTATAATTATACCTCCTAACATTTCTAAAATAAAGACTATTAACTATTGTTTATAGTAATATTTACATAGCTGTTGTAAATGCTTTAATTTATTTATTCTGGGGTTCTCAAATGTGAGTGTGTGTTGGAATCACCTGGAGGGTTTGTTAAAAATCAGATTCCCTTCATCTTTACCCACTGTTCCTGACTCCATAGATCAGGGGTAGGACCTGATAATTTGCATTCTAACAAGTTCTCAGGTGATGCTAAGGCTGCTGATCCACAGACCTTACCTGGAGAATCACTGAATTAACTCATTTAATCCTCACCTTACGAAATAAGTATTGTCATTATCACCATTTCTAGATAGGGAACTAAGGCAATCAAATAGCTTCCGCAGGGTCACATGGCTAGTAAAAGGAAGAGCCATTATTCAAGCCAAGGCAAATTAGTCCATTTGCATAGCCATTTGAGGTGTTAACAGAGCATAGAGCCTTTCTGGAGACCACAGAGGCTCCATGGTGGACATGACCATAGAGCAAGTCTTGAAGGAGAGTTGTGACTAGATATTCCCGAGTGGGACAATATGTGCAGTAGTCTGGAGGGAGGAAAAGATCCACTTTCCTGGAGACAGGCAAAACACAGTTTAGTTTTGCCTGTGTAGGTTTTATTGCCTCTGCTGTCCCTCGAGGGCAAAGGGCAGTATCTTGAAATTCCATGCAAAGTATCAGGCCTGTGTTCATTCTTAGGAAATGCCTGCTGACTTTCTCTTGATTATATCTATAATGGACACGACTTCATAATGAGGAACTAAACTATCAACCTTTTGGTTAACAGTGACAAAAAGTAAATTAGGCCATGAACTTTGAGATAGGCCTTATTGTGAAAGTCAGGGCTACTTTAATTTCTTTCTGTGATGTTAGAAGTAAGACTTTATCTTCCTTCTTTGGGAGATTAGACTATTTAATATAGTGAAGATCTTTTGTTTGATTCATTGCTTTTTAATAATTATGCCTCCTTACACGTTTTCAGGTGAAAAGAGAAAAAGTCTTGGGATAAGAATTGCAATCCCTTGGTTCTGGTGACAGAATCATTTACTGTTTATTCTGTGTCTTCTGTCTTTACTGAATCCTGTATCTTGTTTGTTTTAAATAGGTTGATTCTGCCTTATAACAATAAAAAGTAGGTGAAAGACGTTTTAGGTAGAAATAGGTTAGTCTATAAAAAGATAGTTCTTTTAAAAAAGCCATTGCTAATGGAAAGAAAATGTTAAAAGACAAGTGTTTTGTGTGTGTATGTGTGGGTATACATACTTTTGAGGGTTATCACAGTCTCCTATAAGTCTGTATGAATAATACTGAGATATGTGTTAAGGACAGGAAGAAGTTTTATATTTCTACCCCATACTTTCAGTTTTACAGATTAGATTATTGATGCTTTGAAGCATTATATTGGTTTCTTAAATATATGAATATATTTATGGTTTTCAAAACACTTTTGTATGTATTCTTTATTGATCATGTGCTTATGTTATTATTTGCCTATAATAAACTTTCTTATATTGTTAGGCCAACTACAAATGCATGCATATTGTGAAAACCCAGACATAGTGTTATGTGGAAATAAGAGTGATTTGGAAGACCAGAGAGTAGTAAAAGAAGAGGAAGCCAGAGGACTTGCTGACCAATATGGGTGAGTATTTTTGTGGTGAAATCTAGAGAAAACATTTTCATTATAAACCTTTGTAGATGACTGGGTAATAAAAAAGACAAAATGATCAATGGGATCAAGGACAGGGTTCTACAGCACATACCCTGGAGGAAGACGAATGCAGTTTAACACAACAGATAMCTTTGGGCTGAATAAAAATAATTTGGACATTATATGTTTATGTAACCACTGAAAATTACTGATAAATATACATTTCATGAAATTAATTTAGAAATTGTAATTCAAGTTACTCATATTTTAATGACTCAGACTATAACTTCAGTTGTATTTTCTCTTCACATTGTATTGACTGATTATGGACAGTGGCTTTAAATATTTTGATTTTGGTAGCTTAACAACTAAAATTTTTTGTCAAGTAATTTCATGACCTGATAAAAATCACTGAATTCTTTAGGCACTAATAGTTCTAAATTTTTATGAGTAAATTGTGTTGTAATAAATATAGTTTCAGTAATAAAAAAAAGACAAAAATGAAAAATTAAAGCAAAAAGCTTGGATGTAGGCCTTGGGAGATGTCAAATATCTACTTTTTATATTAATATCATGATAGTGGGAATCATAGAAAAATCATGGGATAAGGGTCTCCCCCAGGAGAAAGACAGCTTTGACTGCAAATGTACTATCTGAGTAGGGCCTCCTTTTTAAGGTGCCAACTGGAGACTTGTAGGATAAGGAAATCCTTTATGTTGAGCAAGGAAATTTCAAAGCCAGTTCATATAATACTATAGACAGTTCTAGCATTTGAGATCTTATTGAGTATCACAGATCAGGTGCTGACTTTGACTGGGAGAACTGGTGAAGAGTCCCTTTGGTTTAGGCTATTTTTATGGTGGAGGGTTAGCAAAATGCTGTCTTCCTCCTTGAGCTGTGGGAGAAGGATCATAGTGGCAACAGAATGAAGTGGGCACAACAGAAGAAGCCATCTATTGCTTATCCAAGTATCAAGGGCACCTCTACAAATGAATTGGTTTTATTTTGACCTCTGGTACTATGAGAACCCAAATTTAGATACTTGCTGTTAAAAGGAGGTAGTGAGAAGGATTGGGAAGGGAGGGGAGGGGAGGGAAATGGAGGTATGTATGATATAAGAGGTAGAAGGTGTTACCAGATAGTTGGCTTGAGAATTCAAGGAGGCCAGGGGAGGACCTTTCCTGGTTGATTCTGTGACCCTGCTTAGTTTTTCCTTGGGTTGTTGGAGGTTAAGAAGGCCCTCAAGGCAGGGCTTATGCTAGGAAGTGGGTAGAAGGATAGGTTGGTCAGGTGAGAAGAAACCAGAATCTGGAGGGCTTTGAATACCAGATTAGGAGATTAGATTTGGTCTCTGGAGAACAGAGGGTTGCTGAAAGCCTTTGAGCATGGAGAGATGTTATACATATTTTTCCAAATCAGTCTGGGAACCTTAGAAGGGGGTGAAATAGAAGGAGGGAAGACTAGAGACCGGGAGATTCAGCTGTGAGGAGGGTAAGGGCTGGATTAGTGAAAAAGGAAAAAGGAAAAAGGAGTAAATCAGAAAAAATACACATGTGGGGCAGAACAGGATTTTAAATCATTTTCAATTTGCAATTGGATGTGGAGTTACACCCAGAGTAGATGATGTTTAACCATGTTAGAAATACCTGGGGCACTTTTAATATATATATGTGTAGGCCTCTGTCCTTCTGACGTAGTTGATCTGGAGTTTATGAGGTAGGTTTCAAGTGAATATCTACATGTGAAGGGATCTGTCACAGTGATTTGACCTTATGCACCAGGGGGAGTTGGGTAAGCAGTCTTTATAAGGTGTTGGTTTTGTGTCTCAYGCTGAAGCTTGAAGTGCACAGGACAGGGAGTCAGGAAAGAAAGGTGGATGTCAAGTGGAGGATGGAGGTAAGAAGTGAGAACCAGTTGGGACCCATAAGCGTGTACTGAAATTCATGTCAGCCCTTGTTGCCTCGTATCGTAATGATGTGCGTGTCCTGAAAAAGCCAGGACCCTCTGCTACAAGGATAGCCACATATACCTGGCTCAGGGGTCCCAGAAGCTAAAGGAAGGTCTGGGGTGGGTGAAGCAGGTGCAGGTCTGATTGCTGGTTTATATCAACAAGACGAGCCAAGAGATAAGGAACAGCATGTAAAAGCATTAAAATGGCTACTGCTTCACTTCTGCCCTCCATATCTCCCCCAGATCTCTTTTGTGAAATTCTGGAAAATGTTTACCCCAGCCAGGTTGATATATTAAAGAGGCACTACCCCAGGGGATTCTGGGCAGTGGTRTCCTCTGCAGGATATTCATATGTGGTGGTTGAGAGTGATTGGGGAGATTCTGAGGTGGAGGCTGACAAAGGCCCACAAGCAGTTCTGATATGCACCCCACTCTGCCCCACCCCTTGAGAGGCACTCAAGGAAGTAGAAGGGAAACAGGGAGAGGTTAGATACCACAGAGAATGCTGAAATGTTGAGAACTGTGTTGCAAGGGGGTAAAGAGGAAGTAAGCGATGAAGCAATGGAAGCCAGATACCTAGACCATGCTTTTGACAAGTGTGTCAGTAAGGGCAAGAGCAGGGCAACTAGAGGAGTTAGCTTCAGCAAGCAAGTATATTCTTAAGTATTGGGGGAGAGTCAAGATTGACTTCTCCCTCTGGGCTTTTTCAGCCTTTGCTTTTTTTTCCTCTGGTCTGGGTCTCAGAATTCCAGTCTGCCTGGTGGCAGAGAGCCTGGCATTGCCTTCTGTCACATTGGGAATCTGAGGAGTGTGGAGACTGTTTCTCACCTGTGTCCAGCTCACAGCAGCTGTGGGATGTTTCACAGAGAGGAGCCCAATCTTAGTTGTTGAGTTAAAATGAGAAGAAAAGGGATTAACAGATTGGAATAACTGAAACTCTTGAAGAAGATGAGAGAAGGAAGGAAACAGAATTCCAATGGGATTTAGAAAGCAGTGTGGTTCTGTAGGCTCTCTGGCACTTTTAGATGAAAATATGATGGAACAATTTGGCTCCTATGTATTTTACAAGTTTGGCATAAACATTTAATGATTATTTTCACAGAAATCATGATTCATTCTTCATAATTATAACATTTTCATTGGTGGCCAATGTACTAAAAGGACTGTGTCAGTCAGTACATCCTTGTATTTAACAGTTAGAAAACAAGGGTACAGCTTATGGCATATTTTCATATCATTTACATGTTCTGATAAGTTTACAATTTTTTTTGTTACCACAGTCATAAAAACAGATCATTGGTTCACAAGTAGTTTTGTGCCACATATATAAAATAAGAGCTTGTGTCTTAGAAAAACTTTGCAAATTGGTAATGAACATTATAGTGTAAATATGGAGCATGAATCTGTGAGTGCTGGAACAAGTATATATGAAAATGAGGACTTCATGCAGCAGCAAAACATGTGCACATGATGATGAATATCAGAAAATTTTTTTTAGTAGTTTAGGAGTCTATTTACCCCTAATTCTTTAAGCATTTTTTTCTGCATTCATTTTTTCTATGAAACTTGGTTAAATTATATTTTGAAGCTCTTCGGTCACTTTAAACAAGACAAAATGATCTCTCTGGTTAACCAATTGAGATTTTCCAGAACAAATGGAAAACAGTGCTTTTCAATGTGTTGTATTGAATGCTATTGTCAATGAAGTCAGAGAAAATAGCAAAACAGACTTGTTCAAACTTGGGCACCAGTCAGACAAAATGATTGCTGTCTACACTGTTGTTAAAACATTTTAAAAATAATTACAAAGTCAATGATGAATACATTAGACTAGAAAACAGAATGAAATATTGGCAACAATATTCTTTTAGATGATRCTGTTAGGTCTCAAATATGTATCAGAATCACTGGAACACCGAGTCTCTCAGAGGCACTGATTCAGTAGGTCTGGGATGGAGCAGATAAATTTACATTTGTCACTGATTTTCAGATGCTGTTGCTGCTGGTTCAGTATGGCACTTTAGGAACATGTGCAGAAGCTAAGTTCCTTTCAGGTGTGCATGCTAGCAGATATTTTCCTTGAAGAGAATCATTTATACATAGAATATGAGATAGTTATTTACTTGCACCCTGCTTGGGTAGAGGAAATGTGCCCAATGATTTTTCATTGGAAAATCCATGCTAAAGAGAGAAGGATTTTTTTCCTATGTAATTTTATCAGTTATGCTATAGATGGGAAGGGACAATCTGTACTGAAGAAGGGCTAACCACAAGTGAGTAAGCAAGGAATTCATTATGTGAGTAAAAATGGTTGGATCAAAATGCTTGTCCTCACTGCTTTATTCAAAGAGGATAGTTTGTGGTGACAATAAGTCATTTTTTAAAATGCAGAGTCTGAGGGAAGTAGAGAAAATTGTGGATGTGATCAAAACACGACAACTGAATATACATATTTCATGTTCTGTGCAAAGAAATGGGTAGCAAATTTAAGAGGACTTTTTCCTGACTGAAGGCTGATGGCAGTTGATGAGGAAGGTGCTCAAAAGTTTCTGGAACAAAAGAGGAGTTAAAAGCATTTATTTGTAACATTAAAAAATCAGTATAAATCATTTCTCAGATTTTAAAAAATTTTATTAGTTGTTGATGGATCTTTATTTGTTTATTTATATGCGGTGCTGAGATACGAACCCAGCGCCTCGMACATGCTAGGCAAGCATTCTATCACTAAGCCACAATCCCAGCCCATTTCTTAGATTTTAAGTGGCAGAGCTTAGCAGAAGCTGTCTTACCTAGTCTGAGCTAGATGAAACGTGATATGAATCACTTGGTCGTTCCCAGTTTGGTTCTTTGCAAACTTGGTGACATCCTTCCTTGATAAGAGAAATAAATTATTGATGTATCATTGGGCATGTTTTAATGGCACACAAATAAACCATAATCAAACATACAAGCTGATTTCCGGAGCCCAATACAACTCAGGTAAGGATCTAGACTTCATTTGCCACAGTCTCTCAGGTTCAGGCAGCACACCATTCCTTTTT